GGGGGGGGCAGTTCTACGCTGTCCTACAGGGTGGCGATGAGCCAGCAGTGGCTTGATGACAGTGAGTTTGGTTTCGACTAAAACAGCGGAACTGCTCCCCAGGGCTTTCCAAGGCTATAAATCTTTACGGGAATAGATAGCCTCACCATTCTTTCATGGAGCAGCTGGTGGATTTGAACCACCAAACTTGCAGTTAGCAGCCCAATATCCAGCACACACCACCAGGGAGTGTTCTCCTCCTACAAAGTACCCCCTAAACAAAGCTTCGACAGACTTCATGCTTATACTTGCACATAAGTTACTCTTGTTTTACTATTTTGTAGGAAAGCAAGTGGACAGCTCGAGTTCAAGCACTCCATCAGGAACACAAGAAAGAAAAGGGGCGGGTAAGATTTCAAAATCATTGGTTTGTGAGCAGTCCATTTTATGCATTAATAGTGACTTTCTTTCTAAATAACAGTAGAGTACTGGTCCATTTAGTCAACTTTGTGGAGAAATGTGCAACAAAAATCAAAAGCACTTGTGTTTCCAGTACCCAGAGACAACCATTGCTACGACTTTGGTTTCCAAATCAAAACCACTCTCATCAAGTCCATTCTGACTCATAGTAACCATACGTAGGGCTTCCTAGGCAATATGACCTTATGGAAGCAGATAGCCTCATGTTTGTCCCCTGAAGTGGCTGGTGGGTTTGAATGATTGACTTTGCAGTTGGCAGACCAGCACTTACTTGATTGTGCCACCAGGATTCCTCCTACTTTGGTAGTTTCTTTAATTCTTTTTTTTCCTGTGCCATGTTGTTATTGTTGAGTTCCACCAAGTCACTTCTGATTGCTGGGGACCCTGTAGGAGAGAGTAGAACTGCCCCGTAGGGTTTCCACGGCTGCAGTCTCTACTGATGCAGCCTGCTGGGAGCAGCAGCTGGTGAGTTCTAACTGTCGACTAGCTGCATTTTCTTAAATGAACTTTTTAAACGATCACAACAAGCGGAATGTTGATATGAAAAAAGACACGTGGTAGATATCTGATGTCCAGTATGTAGAATATTCAGATGACCACAACATTTATCAGTTTATAGTCCTCTTACATAGGGAAATACACAAGAGGGGAGTGGGGTAACGGGATGGGGTGAGAAATTTGTCGCCATTACTAGAGCCAAAGCAAAGCAAGCAAGAAAGTAAAACATCAGACTACTCTATAAAAAAATCTGCAGTGGTTGATGAACTTAGAACAGTTATTATCATTTTTAATAGAGTATATAAGAGAATATTATTATTAGAATAGTTCTTTCATAAAATAGTTATTATCCTCATTTTTAAAATTGTACAATTTCTAAAAAACTAAATGGGAGCCACCCCTTTTTCCTATTTCCCTCACTAGATCATTCAGGGAAATTAAAGATCTGTCGTGCTTGTACCCAAGTGCACAGCTATCAGCAGGTCTGGGCATCAATCTCATACTTTCATTCACTCACACATTTCTAAGACCTCCATCTTTGACTGAGCTTTGGCTGTTTCTAAAAGGGCTCCTTCATTGGTCTCCTCCAGCCCAGGCTTCCTCTTTCCTAATCTGCCCTCCACACACTGGGCAGATTAATCCGGCTTCTGGTAACCACTGTGGCCTCATCCTGATCTCCCCCTGGTCTCCTAGCTGTGGTGGCCTCCTGACAGGTCCCAGACTGTCCCAGCGTTTCTCTCCCTTTCAGGTTTAGTTTTCCCCGGTGAGTGGCTCTTCACGTGGCTTTCTGCTTTCCCTCTGTACTGGTTTTTGAAGCGGTACGGCAGATAACTGCCATTCAGTGACTCAAAACACACTGTGGATGTAATGAATTGCTTTCATGTGGCCGTTCTCACCAAGCTCCTACAAAATGATTGGATGGGGACTATGCAAATGGTCCACCAAGAAGATTAGCTAAAGCAGCTGATAATGCAAATAAGGTGCTTGGCACCCTTGTGGAGGCAAGATCTTGTAAATAAGGTGTTTACAACCCTAATGAGACCAGTGGTCAGTTTGGCTCTGCTGCTAGAGGTGGGTGAGAGGGGACCTCATTCCATTAAGAAAAAAATGCTGGGAGTGGAGTGTCTCTGTTGGACCTAGGGTGTCTGCACTGAGATCCTCCTAGACTTGAGAGACAGCTGAACCCTGGAGATGGTGTGGGAAGGGGAGAGTGGAGGTAGCAGAATCAGGAGAAGGGCTCAAGAGGCTGTGAGCCCATGGACTGGCTGTTGCATCAGTGCTGAGCTAGAGAGCTGAGCACCTTCCACAGGAGGTTGGCTGGCCGTGGATTGCCTCTGGGTACCTGGTGGTACTAGGCTCCCTGACTTCAGAGAGTTAGCGAAAGAGCTGGAGGCTTCCTGGCAGAATAGGGTGTCTCTGGGAACTTACCTGTGGAGCTAAAGAGCAGGGACCAGTCCCAGAGGAGTCTGCCCTGGGTTGGAGAGGGGCCTGTCCTCTAGAGGTGAGTTTGAGGGCCCAGTGCAAGAGGGGTCTGTGGCTGACACCTAACTTGTGGGCATGACTGGAGAAGCTGTACTGATGGAAGAGCTGAGTCCTGAGTTGTAACACGTTACTTCCCTAATAAACTCCTCCTCATGAGGATTGTCTGTGCGGCCACCAGTAGAGAAGTAGAGAGTGTCCTGGAAGGGATCCTTGGGACCAAAATTGAAAAACAACAAAAACAAAAGAAAAATAGGTATGTCGGACCTGCTCCTCATAGGAAGCAGCCTTGGACTGATGTTGATCTTGATTCTCTCTCCTTCCTCTTGTGAAGTCAGTGGAGGTCTGACCCCTCCACCCTGCCAATTCCTACCCACCCATTGGTTTTCTCCAGGGTTCCACTAGCCAGGAGTCCAGGCACAGCTCCCAGGCTCTGGTGCTCAAGGTTGTACCTGGCTGCCTGCCAGGTGTCATTCAGGCTGCTGGCTGTGTTCTCTGTGATGTAGCACTCTGGGCCTCTTCCGAGCTCCCTCTGAGCACTTGCATTGTTCATCTTTGCCCTTATGAGGTTGAGGCCTTCAGTACTGAAGGCCATCTTTCTCCACGGCAATTCAGACTCTGAATTCAGAATGACTTCTACAAGGCCAGTAGATCGATCGTTCAGCCTCTTTCTCAGGAAAACCCAGGAACTTATTTTAAAGTCAGGACCTGTCTGATCAGGTCATACCTCCACCCCATGATAACCTCCTGTTTTTTTTACATCAGAGTGACTAGACAAGGAATTTTCATTGCTTCTGAAAACGCCCTTCATTTTTCCCTTAGTACATTAGGTAGGAATGTACTCCAGGGTCTGCTCAACCCAGAAGGGCGGTATTACACAGCACATGTACACCAGGGGGTGGGATCCTGAGGACTCTTTCTGCCTACTAACAAATCCTTTTCTGCCCCCTGCTTGCTTTTCCACGTAAGTAGGTGGAAAAGTAGTGTCACCCATCCTCACCCTGTAGCTCTGATTACTGTTGTAGCTCATTTGCTTATTTGTATTCTTATTTACTGTTCCTCCCTCTAACTATGCTGCTCGGCCTTTTTGCTGTTGCTAGTTGCTATTGAGTCGGTCCCCACTCATAGTGACCATGTGCACAGCAGAATGCAACACTGCCTAGCTCTTCACCATCCTCACACTTGTTCTTACGTTTTAGCTCATCATTACAGTCACTATGTCAGTTCACCTCGTGAGGGTCTTTGTCTTTTTTGCTGCCCCTCAACTTTAAAAAGCATGATGTCCTTCTCTAGGGACTGGTCTCTTTAGACATCATGGCCAAAGTACGTGAGACGAAGTCTGATCATCCTTGCCTCTAAGAATCACTCTGGATGTATTTCTCCCATTTTAGGGGAGGACTGTTAGTTCTCCATTGGATTCACAGCACCCATCAAGATGCCTAAAATCTGATTGCCACTCATTAAACACTTGCTGAATAACTGCGGAAAGTGATTCAATGATGAAGGGAATCATTCAACCTGGTTTTTGTAGAAGAGGGAATGCTACTTTTAGGCATCAAACGAGTAAAGGGTTGTCTGCAGGAATAGACCCAGTCAGCTGTGAGGAGGACTCTCTGCCGGACTCAGGGAGCCTTTGCCTGGGCCAATCGTCACAGAGTTGGGAAGATGGGGTTCATCTTCCAGCCTGTTACGTCTACAGCCAGGGAGCATGGAGCTCTGGATGGGAATTGTTCTGTACCACAAGCATTCTAAACACAGGCTTCCCTGCTGTCCATATGTGACAATGAACCTATCTTCTCACTCATGCTGTGGCTGTTGCTGGCCCAGTTGGGTTCCCAAGAGTTGATTGTGCACATTTCTTCAATTGGGAGTCCCCCACCCCCAGCTGGTTAACTAGCGTTACTACTAAGTTCATAGACCTATCTAGAAGTAAATTGGTTTTCATGCCCATCATATATTTAATCTTCATAAGAATTTTGTGATGTAGGTACTCATACCTATTTTATAGATGAGGAAGTTGAGGCTTAGAAAGATGCTGTGTTGCACACACGTAGCCCTTGGTAAGTGCTCAGCTGCTAGCTAAAAAGTTGGTAGCTTGAACCTACCCAGTGTGTCTGCAGGAGAAAGGCCTAAAGATCTACTTAGGTGGAGACGACAGGCTAGAAAAGCCTATGCAGCAGCTCTGCTCTGTCATGGGTTTGCGATGCATTGGAATCAACTTGAGCACTCAAATACCACGTCTTGTCGACGCTCACTGGACCTTGAAGAATTTAACTCCAGGGCCCTTGTGACTATTAACTGTCTTGTTGGGCCGTCAATGGTGCAGGCACCCAACCAGCCCCATTAAATGGGGAGAGGGGTAAATAGTGAGCACTTAGAGTGGTTATTTTTCTGTAAAAGCATTGTGTCTTCCCTCCGAAATACTTTCAGGCAATAATCCCTAACCAGGGATGGACTTCAGAATTAATAGGGAGTTGTTGTTTTTCCAAAATGGCAAGTCAAATGTGCTTGACACAATGGATGGATGGATGGATAGATTGTGATAAGCGTTGTACGAAGCCCCAGTAAAATGATTTTTTTAAAAAAAGTATTGTCATAGCATCATAGAAACTTTTATTAAACGAAAATATCAAAATGTGGAGCTATTGTTTCTTGACATATCCTCCATCCAGGTCTATATCATTCTGAAAACCATGTTTCCATTTCTTTCACTTTTCCCTGAAGAATTCTGTGCTTTTCAATGTTGACGTGGTGCACCGTGTCTAAATGGCATGTTTGACATTCTCAGGACTTAGGTTGTGCTTCTTTTCACTGTCCTTTGAGTTTGGGAGAACAACCAGAAATCTAAAGGGGCAAGATCCGGGCTGTGGGAGGGACGGGGGAAGGTTTTCGAATGAAATTCCTGTGAGACTCCCTTGCTACTCTTAAAGAACAAGCACGTACATCCTTGTGATGAGAAACACTTTTGGGTGCAAGGTCCCTGGCCTTTCTCTCACCAATGCGGTTTTTATTTTTCTTAAAATATCTTCTTAATAAGCCCCTGTGATGATTTGTGTTCTTTCAGAACTTCTGTCAAGATTACGCTTTCTTTTTCAAATCATTTTATTGGGGACTCGTACAACTCTTATCAAGAGTCCCCCAAACAGACATCTTACCTGGAGCTGGCCTCTGCCTTGAATTAATCTTTGAGGTCTTCCCAGTTGTCCTTAAAACACTTGGAAGTGGAATGGAGTTCTCATGAATGTGTTGCAAAGCCTCAAGGATTTAGGAAGGTATTGACTTGAGTTTTCTTAAAAACTTGGTATGAGCCCTGACTTTGCAAAT